GAGTAGGGCTCGCTCTCGCGCGCGATTCAGCGGCGCAGAGAGCACAGGCTGAATGACCTGCGCGCCATTATGCACTACGCGCGACACGCATGCGGATGAAAAGTGCGGGCGTCATATATATATATATATATACATATATTTATATATTCATACATATACATATACATATATATACATATGTATACAAACATATATATATCTATATATGTTTGTATACATATACATACATATACATATATACATATATATATATGTGTGTGTACACACATACTCCTTTTCCCTATCAAAATATAAGGGACCCCCCCCGGATGGGCGTCACCTAATTCGCCCCCCCGGAAGAGCTCTGAACGGGCTCACGACAGCTCCGACAATGCCCAAAATTACCCCCAAGCTGGTCCGACCGGCCCACATTCCGCTCTATGATGCCCCAGTTGCTCCTACGAAGGCCCACGAGGCCTCCAAGACGCCCCAAGAGGCCTCCGAGAGCCTTCCCAAGAGAGCCCCAACAGGCAAAATTCATTGATTTCCAATGGTCTTCGACGATTCTTGGATTTACGCGTTTGCCACGCCCGCCTCTCCAAAACGGCCGCATGGGGACTCCAAGATTGCCCCCAGACGGCTTCAGACGCCTTCAAGACGGCCCCAAGACAGCCCCAAGACGGCCCAAGAGGCTTCTAAGACGGCTCCAGGGACCCTCAAGACGGCTCCAAGAAAGGCCCCACGACAGGATCCGAGCCGACATTTCGGCCCTCCCGCTCCAGGGTACCCCGGACACACTCTCCAGAGGCCCCCAAGGCCCCAAGAGACCCCCAGGAGATCGCCGAGAAGCCACCCATGAGGCCTCCAAACGCCAAGGCCCGCACTAACAGCGACGACGTACACACCTCGGCCGCGCCAGGCTCTATTGATGTCCCGTAGCCCTTGGCTCCAGGATTCCGCTGCTGCTCCGCCTCGGCATGCGCCGATTGGGATCATGACGGGCGACTCCCCCGCCGTGCGCAAGAGGCCGGCCTCTCGCGGACGCCCCAGCGCAGATACGTTACATTGCACGCGCTGCGACCAGGACGTCCCGCACTTTGCAGTCCGCCAACGCCACCGAGCCACCCGCGCGTGCATCACTTGCACCGCCGCTGCCCCGCAGACTTCCGGCATGTCCCGACGCCGACTACAGGTCACTTGCGTTCGTTGTGGGCTCTCCTTGCCAAGGGAAGCCTTCGCTTGCGACCGCGACAGGACGCATGACAGCGTCTGTCGTGAATGCAGCGTAGTGGGTCGACCGCCCTTGCAAGACGTGCCGTTCTCTGTCGGAGACATGAACCGAAGTTGCCCGCATTGTGCGGCCTCCCTCTTTCCAACCGAAAAGCCAGCGTTTTGCTGCAGCAACGGCAAGCGGGCGATCACATTCGAGCACTTCTTCTCACCTCCGGCGCCCGCCCTTCTGGAGATATTCCGCTCCACTTGGCCCGCTCGCGACGCCACGGGCCATCTTCTACGCGATCCCACGACCAATTCTCCTCGTCTGACAGGGTTCACGGCAGCAAGTCGCCGCTACAACAACTTATTCGCATTGGCTGTTCACGAGATCCACAGCGCAGGAAGCGCGAAGGAACTTCGATTCGGCAACTACATGCGTCCTTCCAACCTCCGGATTCACGGCGCGATGCACAGGCGAGTGCTCACGGCTGCCGAAACCACCGCTGTGAGATATCTCGTCGTGGACCCTCAAGAACGCACTCGACAAGCCACTACCCTGCAGTTAGACGTGGGGCTGCTCCGTCGCCTGGAACGCCTCCTACTGCCCATCAACCCGTTCATGAATGAGATCAAACGCCTCGGAACTATACGTCGCCCTGGGCCCGACGCAGCGGTGCACTTGAAGTGGGGCGAGGACATCAACGAGCTCGCCGCCATCGCCGACGCGCGCGCGGATAGCCACGCTCAACCTCGCGCGGTCACGTTCCGACTGAACTCCTCCACCGCCCCCAAGTATCTCCATCCACTACACCCTTTCTACGATCCACTGTCCTACCCACTGTGGTTCCCATCCGGCGGGCGTGGGTGGAGCCCGGATGCGATGGTCAACGGCGCGCACATCAGCCAAATGTGGTGGTACCGGCAATGCGTGCTACGGTTGTCTCACATGCACGCTTGCGGACGATTGCTCAACGAATGGCTCGTTAATATGTACTGTCGCATGGAGGACGAAAGACTGAGCCTCCTCCGCCGTGACCAGCCCAAACTGCGTGGCACTAGACGTCAGGTCTGCGAGATGATTGCGAACACCGCCGACCCAGCTCCTGCTGTGGCCCGCGTGCTCATGCCCTCGAGCGTGCCGGGGTCCCCGCGCCACCTCAGACGTCTTCGAGTCGACTGCTTGGAACTGGCGCGTCGTAAAGGCCCGCCCACTTTCTTTATCGCTCTGACATGCAACCCATACTGGCCAGAAATTCAATCAGCCCTCTTGCCTGGGCAAACCGCTGCTGACAGACCAGACGTCGTCGTCCGCGTGTTCCACGCGCGACTCCTGGAGATGGTTTCTTTTCTGAAGACCGACTTCTCTGGGCGCAGAAGGTACATCATCCGCGTGATTGAGTATCAGATGCGGGGCCTCCCTCATGCACACATTGCGCTCGCGGTGGACAACCCCCCCTGCACGCCCGAGGAGATCGATGCTCTCATATCGTGCGAAGTCCCTCCTGAACATGGCCCACTCCGCGAGCGCGTCCTGCATCACATGATTCATCGGTGCAATCATTCCTGCCATCCCAACGACCCTGCCCTGGAGCGCATCAAAGGATGCCCGTGGCCGTTCGCAGACACCACCGAGATCGACGCCAGAGGGTACCCGCACCATCGCCGACGTCCGTGCTCTAACACTTGCCCAAATTGCCAATCTGCCGGGCCTGCCTACGGACGACGACATGTCTGCTGCAATCGACTGGTCGTCGAGCACTCCCCCAGCATTTTGTTGAAGTGGGACGGCCACGCGAACGTTAAGTTCGCCGGATCTGTCAATATGTTCGAATACCTATTCAAGTAACTCTTCAAGGGACCCGACCACACCATGTACACCATCGGTTCGGAAGACCAGCCGACCGACGAAATTGCCGACTGGCTACGCGGCAGGTACCTGGTCGCCACGGAATGCGCATGGCGAATCTTCGGCTACACCACGTACGAGCGCGTGCCTACGGTACTTTCTCTGCCGGTGCACCTTCCCGACGAGGACTGGGTCGACTTTGACGAGGGATTCGAAGCCGATGCTTTGGACCACACTACGTCCCAGTTGGAGCGCTATTTCTACCGCCCGAACCGAGAGCCATTCCTCGGCTGCAAATACACAGAGTACTTCGAACGTTTCATTGTCAGCACGACTTGCCCCGTGGCGTTACGCGGTTTCTTCCCCGATGAGTTCGGACACCACCTCGTCGAACCGCCAAGAAGCGAGTGGCCTACCCTATCTGCAAGATGGCACCGAATACCTGCATACACCACCGTTCGACCAACTGTGGACATGGCGCCGCCCGGACGCCAAAACTACGTGTACGTCCGCATGCGAAGGGAACCGCCCGTGTGCCGCCTGGAGATGAAGTCCCCCCGGCAGAAGGACGTCTTCTACCTTCGGCAGATGCTCCTGCACTTTCCTAAGAGGACCGGGACTTAAACCACCCTCCTGCTCTTCTGCCCGAAACGACCCCCCCACACCACCTGACGATCTTCCACGCCTCCATACGACTTTGGCGAGTTCTCGGTCACGTGACCGACTCGCTCAACCCATGCCCCTGCTTCTCTCGAGCCTCCCCGTTCCCCCAGGGCCACTGCCGCCGACCATGTCCTTGCTCAGACCACTCGCACCATTTCCCTTTCGGAACACAAGCGCCTTGAAACCCTCGGCCACTTCAAGCATGTCGCGGGACCCCCGCGGGCCACAATGCACCTCAGTCCCCGGGCCCTCGCCCCTCTCGCCCCGCTAGCCAGTCCACGCAAGCTGTGGGAACCCACCCTTGTGACGAAGTGATCCACCCCGCCGGCCCGAACCCTGCGTCGCCCGACCCGCGACCACGGGAACCTCCCAGCCCACGACGCACTCCCGTTCCCAAACCATCACCCAGACCACTGCACCCACCAATTCACGCAAGCTGTGGGAACCCACCCGTTCCCCGAACGGATGCCCCCCGCCCCGCCTATCCCTGTCGCCCGATGATAATGGTGATGATGGTGATGATGATGATCATGATCATGATGATGATGCTGATGATGATGATGATGATGATGATGATGATGATGATGATCCCCCCGGCCTGTCCACGCAAGCTGTGGGAACCTCCCTTGGCCCGCCAGCCCCCAGTTCAATTACCTCCTCCACCACTGCGCGCAAGCTGCGGGAATCCACCCGCTGCCCCAACAGATGCGCCCCGCCCGATTCCACCCCCATCGCGCCCCCCACGTAAGCTGTCATATCCACCTGCCTGCGACAGCCCCGCCACCGTGCCATTCCAGCAAGCTCGGCGGCATTCGTTCGAGGGAACACCGGAGACCGTAAGAACGAGGGATGAACAACCTGATGACGACGATGTTGACGAGTATAATGATGACGATGACGATGATGATGATGATGATGATGATAAGATGATTATGGCTATGATGATGATGGTGATGATCACGATGGTCATGATGATGCTGACCATGATGAACATGATGATGCTGAGGAGGACGAGGATGCTGACGATGTTGGTGAGTCTGGTGATGATGATAACGACGACGACGAAGATGATGCTGCTAATGACGATGATGATGATGATGATGATGATGATGCTGATGATGATGATGATGATGGATGATCCCCTGCTCTCTCCACGCAAGCTGTGGGGGCCTCCAAGGCCACGACGCACCCCGACCTCTGGCGCCCGACCTCTCCCCGCCTGCAGTCCGCCCCCCCCCCCGGCCTCTCCAACCACCGCTCCTTTCCCTCATCTCCCTGTTCTGCCAATCCCCTCCAGGAGCTTCAAAGACTGCCGCTCCCACAATGGCTCGCAGTATCCTACTTACGAGGAGGCCACGCTGGCGACGGGCATGTTTGCCAAGGACGACGAGGCCGCCCGGGTCATCCAAGAACTCGTGGAATTACGGTACACGGCCCACCAGCTACGTTTCGTTTTTGTTGTGTTCCTCGACCTCGATGCTAAGCCGACGACGTTGTACAACGCATTCGAGAAGCACCTGATGAAATACTTTCTCGACCGAGGGATGGCGCCGTCTACTGCTGCGGCGGAATTGAAGCGATGCTTGCGCCTGGCTGCGGCTGCGCAGGACCGTGCCGACGCGTTGGCCTTCTTGGACGCGCCCGTACCCATAGCATCAACGAGCAGGCAGTCCACCGACAGCACTCCTCCTAGAACAGCCACGGCGACCACCCCAATTTTCCACGCACTCCAGGCTCGCGTGCGCAGCGACTCAGAGCAGCGCGCGGCCACCGCGACAATCACTAGACACATCACCGCCAATGCCTCCAAGTTCGTCTTCGTCCACGGCGCCGCCGGCGCGGGCAAGTCCACGGTGGCCCAATACGTGCATTACTACACAGAATCTCTCGGCAAGTCCTGCGTCAACGTGGCCACGACAGGCCAGGCCGCCCTTCTCTTACCTCATGGCGCCACGGCCCACTCCACGTTCAAGATACCTCTGGGAGACGAGGATCCATTGACGTGCAATCTGGGCTTGCAAACTGCTGAGGCCGCGCGCCTAGCTCGCGCTTCAGTCATACAGTGGGACGAGTGGCCTGGAGCGAAAAGGACAGCGTGGGATGCCGTTGTGCGTTTTCTGGGCACCCTCCAGAAGGCAGCCCCAGACACTTACTCCCCCAAGGTCATTGTGTGCTACGGGGACTTCCGCCAGATCCCTCCTGTCCTCAAGCACGCGTCCAGACGCGACATTGTTGCAATGAGCGTGCGTTCGTCATCAACGTGGGACCATTTCGAATGCCACCGGCTCACTACCAAACACCGCCAACATGCTGATCTCACGTACGCTCGCTGGATCGAGACTGTCGGCAATGGAACCGCCGAGGCGAAGCACTCCGTGGATGGTACTCCCGGTTACTTGGAACTGCACCTCTGCCCAACCATATTGGAACCCCGCGAGGCCATTGATTTCTGCTTCCCACACCCGAACGACGCAAATGCTTGCGCAAAGTCCAAGATCTTGGCCGTCACCAACGATACCGTCGACGCGTTCAACGACATGGTCCTGGACATCCTCGCACACACCCACCTTCGCGACGAATGCCATCGGTTCAGCGCCGACTGCATAGAGATCGACCGGGACGATCAGTTCATCGAACCTCACGTGGCGCCCGAATTTCTGAACGTCCAAACTGAACGCGGTGTGCCTCCCCACCGCATTCGACTCATCGTGGGCGCACTTTGCGAAATTATGAGGAACTTTAGCTCCCAGGACCGTCTGATGAACCATGCCCAGGTGGTCCTCGTCGCCGTTCACGACAACCACGTGGATGTCGAAACGTTGGACGGCAGACGCTTCCCTTTACCGCGGATCTGCTTCCGCTGGAGCTTGGCCAAAGGTGCGACAATCATCGTGCGCCGACAATTTCCATTGCGCCCGGCGTACGCCTCCACCCTCAACGGCGCCCAGGGCAGCACCCTGGCCAGATGCGTCATCGACCTGCGACGCAGCCCCTTTACGCACGGGCACCTGTACGCGGCGCTCAGCCGGGCCCAACGACGTTCCGACCTTAGGATTCTTGCAGCGTCGGAGCGACGCACGGCTGCTGGACACGCCCTCACGAAAAACGTTGTCTGGACCGAGCTGTTGTTAGACAGTGCCGCCGCTCCTCGCGCTGCGGTCCGCAAGCGACCCGCCGCGGCCGAGCCGTACTGCCGCCGCCCTTGACGGCCCCCAGGCAAAAACACATCGCTCTCTGCATTCAGCTGCCTTCGTCCTCCGCGTCGCCCCTCCCCTCCCACCCCGAGCCTGGCCTTGCCTTTGCGCGCCGATTGTGTACAGCGTTACCCGCAGGGCCCTCCCAGAGCCCCCCCGCTCCTGATGTCGTGCCGGGCGTCGGCGCAGGCTCTCGGGCCCCGCTCGGACCTCGCTTCGGATTGCCCGCGGAAGTTGCGCACTGCTGCCCACGCAAGCCGTGGGGACCTCTGGGCCCCGATCTGTTCGCGCTTCGGCCCTCCAGCACGCGCGCGCATGTCATCGTGCACGTGCTTCGGCCCGCCGCCGTCGGAGGCTCAAATCATCGGGCGCGGCAGGCGCGCTTCGGCAGCCCCGTACATCGACCCCTCCTGCCAGACCGCCGCCTGCGATGCCCCCCAAGGCGAGCATCAAGAACGCGCTCCTGGACACCGCCACGGCGCCGAGCAGCGCGCCAGTGCAAGGTCAGCGGAAGCAAGCATCGCTGTACACCATCGCGGTGAACGTGGAGATGATCGACATCCCAGGGAAGAAGAACGCCGGCTCGCGCGTGACCTTCGCGGACGGCGCCAGCCTAAAGGCCACGCAGCCGGCCAACCGCCGCGGCCTCAGTACTTTGTCGGCACGCGCGATGGAGCGGGTTGGCCTCCCCAGCACCCCGAGTGGCGTGTGCAAGACCAATGCGAGCTTCATGCCCCCGACTGCCGCCGCCAACCCGACGCACGGTCGCAGTTGGGCGTGGGTGGCCGCCGCCTACGGGCAGTCCGACGCGGCCGCGACCAAGGCTTGCAACTACATCGGCCAGATCACGGAGCACGTCCTGACCAACGCGTTCCTGGCCGCGGACATGACCGTTCCCGCCGCACCGAACCAGACCGCATGGAGTGCACAGGCGAAGGTACTTTCTAACCGAGTTTCCCTCACGCGCACAGGCACCAAGCACACCTCCGAGCCGTGCACCATCACTGAGTTGCTGAACGTCGCGATCACCATCGCGCCGAACGTGCCCGCCAAAGTCCACAACGCCTTGAAGACGCGGGCATCTCAGCACGGCAGCGTCGTGGCCTTCACCCAGCCCGTCACGCCATCGGCTTCCTCTTCTTCCACGCCGCAGGCCTCCGTCGGCTTCGCCCCGTCGAAGAAGCCCGCCACGAAGCACCCGGTGACGAAGACCATCGCGAAGACGAAGGCCGCAGTGCGGCGCCGCCCCAGCTGCAAGTGAGCGGCCCGGCCATTATCTCTCCGACGCGCATCGGATTTGGTCGAACCTCGACGGTGCGAGGCCTGCAGCCCGGGGCTCGACTACAGCCCCTTTGATTGATACGTGGCGACATGCGGAAAGGCACGCCAGGCGCTCTCTCTCTCTCTCTGTTTCTCTCTCTCTCTCTCGCTCTATCTCTCTGAGTTTGTTTCTCTCTCTCAGTTCCCTCGTGCTGCCAGTGCCACTCACATCGTGCCCTTTTGCAGTCCCGAGCGCAAGCTGTGGGAACCCTTGGGCCTCTATGTGCAAACTCCCTAACCGTTGGACCACCAGGGCCCCCCCAGCCTTGATGTCATCTCTTGATGCCACGCAAGCTGTGGGAACCCCCGCGGGCCCCTTCTGTCCGCGACCCCCCGCCCGCCGAACGCCCGCGCGGACGACCCATAGGCCGCGAGACAAACCCCGGGAGTGCACCATAGTTTTTTTCCACGGCGGCCGTCAATACCAAGTAACACGTCACCAACCCACCAACCACCCACAGCTCCCCTCCTGGGATTTCGCGCGCCGTGCCCACGCAAGCTGTGGGAACCCCCAGGCCTCGGTCTCATGAATCGCCAAGCTTGGGCCCGTCCGACGCTCCCAGAATCCATCGGCACCTTTAGAAGTCTACGCAAGCTCTGGGAACCCCGAGCCCCCTAGACGCAGCTTCCGTTTTTTCCTGGCCCTCGTGCGCGCGCTGACGACACCTAGCGCAGCCCGTGCCCTCTTGCCACCCCGACCCCGCCGCCCTCATTGCGTTTCCGTAAGCTGTGGGAACCCCTGGGCCCTCGCACACGAGCATCCTAAATCTCCCAGCACCCGGGGCCCCTTGTGATTCAATTCGTTTCCAAGGCCCACGCAAGCTGTGGGAACCCCTATCGGCCCCGGTCTGTTGAAGCCTCCTCTTCGAACCACCCGTTGCAAGGACCCATGAGTTAAGGGCGCCGTCTCGCGTGTCATGCCCAGCTTGCCCCCGCGTGCATTCCAACTCACGATTGCACGCGCCCCCAACCCACCAACCACATCCTGCCCACCCTCCGCCCGTTCTCCCCCGCTGCCTGCACAGGACCCACAGGAATCAACAAAAAAAGGCAAGAGACTAGACAGCGTGAGGTAGGATGAGGAGGAGGAGCAGCAGCAGAAGCAGGGGCAGGAGAAGCAGGCCGTCTTGCGCCGTCTTCGCGGCTTCTTGGGGCTCTCTTAGCCCGTCTTGGGCTCTTCTTGGGCCCCGAAGAGTCATGCAAAGAGCTGCGCGAGCTGCGCCGAAGCCCAGGGGGGGCGCGACAAGCCCCGGGGGATTCGGGGCGACGGGCTCCGCACCCCTTAAAAACTCCACAAGGACACGCCCACTCCGTGCCGCGCGGCACGGCGGCAGATCTCTACACAACGTTTTCAGAGCCAGGGTTGCTCCAAATACTTTGCAGGATGAGCAGGGGCACGAGCAGGAGCAAAAGCAAGGGCAGGGGGAGCAGGATAAGAAAAAGAGGCAGCTAACGAACTGGAGGAAAGAATGAGGGAAACGGAAGAGGGGGACGAGGACGAAACTGACGAAAAGGAGGAGGAGGAGGAAGAGAAGGAGGAGGAGGAGGCGGAGGAGGAGGATGAGGAAGATGACGACGACGACGCAGACGACGACGACGACGACAATGACGACGACGACGACGAACCTGAGCAAGTAAATGAGAAGCAAATTACAGCCATATTGTAGTATCTGATGGCCTTCGGCCCATGCCGCCAACGCGCCTGGGTTGTGAGTCAGAGGCCTCTGGAGTGTTCGTTGTGATCTCGTCGTAGATTTCTCGGATGCCTCACGTGGTACCGACCAAGTACCACATGGGGCGTGTCACCTGTAACCATCGAATTGTACCGACCACACTTTTGAAGCCTCTTGGGAGCCGTTTCCGAACCTCTCGGAGCCTGTTTTGAACCTTTTGGAGCGTCTTTTGGGCGTCTGGGGGCCTGCTGGAGGCTTCTTGGGGGCCTCTCAGAGCCTCCTGGGCGCTTCTCAGGGCAGTCTGGAGGCCCCCATGGAGCTCCTGGAGGCAGCAAACCCGATTTCAAGATTCTGTTTGTAGGCCGCTGGGGCTCCCTTGAATCCCTCTGGAGCCGTTTTGGGCGACTCTTGGACCGTCTTGGAGCCCTCTTTGTCCATCTTGGGGCCATGATGGGGGCCTCTCGGGCCGTCTTGGAGCCGTCTGCGAGGCCTCTTGGCCCGTCTTGGAGCATCAGAAACGGAAAACGCGAACAATTCAAAATCCTTCAAGCCTCCGTATTTCGACACATCGGCTCAAGCCGACAGTGGGAACAGTAACCTCTGACACACAGCTTCGATGCCGAACCGACCAAAGGTCCGTTTCTGCACGACGCACCCTAGGCGCCAACTCAGTAAACGGGGACATTGTTGGAAGTGCCGCAGTTTACAAGATAGGTAACGTCATGGGGGGCGGCTTGGCGGTGCTGCCGCCGGGTCGACTAAAGCGAGGTACGGCATGAACAACGGCAAGTGCAGGGCCCTGCGAAACAACCACCGCTCGTGGAATAACACCACCATCACATTCCCCATCTTCCAGCACCTGCTGAGGAAGCTCCACGAGAGACGAGAACAACGCGCAGCAAAACCACTACTTCGCAGAAACATATTGCCTGCCTGGGTCTTGGCGGCCGCAGACATTGACGAGGCCATCCGCATAATGAACACCACGCGCTTCGGCAACCCCGACCGATTCAAAGACCGGGTGAGCGTGGAAATCCAGGGAGTTCTACGGCGAGTCAGGGATCCGAGCACGCAGGCGGCAGTATGTATCGGTGTCCGGTATCGCCAAAGCCCGCGGGGCCTCGCAGCGCACCTCGGGATCACCCGCTTGGATGACATCGGGGCTGCTTTAACCCGCGCCAAGCGAGGCTTCCGGACCTGCCGCCAGACCGGCCTCTCGGACAAGCAGTTGGCCATCGGCCTGTCGGCCGCCTCTGCTGCGTGCGCCGCCCGCCGCCCGTTCTCCGACTGGGCGGCGTTGGAGAACGAGATAGCGAAGCAGATGCGGAAGTATTGTCGGGGGCGCGGCCGGGAATACTTCTCGGCTCGGCAGTCGGCCGCTGACTTGACCCAGTTGCCAGGATGGGTGAACGGCCTCGGGCCCGGCTCCCGCCCCGCCACATCGCGCGCCGGCCCCGGGGCCCAGGCTGGCCATTATTTGGCCGAGGCCGCCGCCGGCAAGAGGACGAAGCACGCCCCGCGCTTCGTGAACTACACGGAGCAAACGGAGAAGTGTGAATACAGCAAACTCATCTGCCGGCTGACCTTCCCCGCGGCCACGGCCGCCGCGACGTGCGCGCCGACGCCCAATTAGGTGCCCGCGCGAATAGCGCTGCGCCGCGCGGGGGGGCGCGCGACGCCCACGTTCGGAAAAAAACTTCGCGCGTTGGCCGGCCGGCCGGTCCCGCTCTCAAAAACGAAGCCGTCGGCGCGAACCAAAATTGGCTTCGCCCGAGGGGTGGCTCCGCGCCCCGGGATATGCTCCATCCTTAGGAAAACTCACACCCTCGACTGCCCCTCGGCGCCAGCGTGCCCGGAGAGCGCCAGACGCGCCCCATCTTGGGGCCGAACAGACAAAGCAGCCGTCGACGTAAACCAAAATTTGTTCAGCGCGTGGGGTGGCTCCGCGCCCCAGGACATGCTTCTTCCTTACGAAAACCCACAGCCACGACAGCCTCTCGGCACGGCGTGCCCGAAACGCCAGAAGCCCCCATCTGGGGCCCGAAAAAGAAAAAGCAGCCGTCGACGTAAACCAAAAATTGGTTGGTTCAACCCGTCGGGTGGTTTTGCGCCCGCGCACATGCTGATTCCGTGCGAAAACACACGCACACACACGAACGCACAAACACACAAACAGACAAACGCACACACACACACGCACACACACACACACGCACGCACGCACGCACGCACGCACGCACGCACGCACACACACATACACACACACGCACGCACGCACGCACGCACGCACGCACGCACGCACGCACGCACGCACGCACGCACGCACGCACGCACGCACGCACGCACGCACGCACGCACGCACGCACCCACGCACGCACGCACGCACGCACGCACGCACGCACGCACGCACGCACGCACGCACGCACGCACGCACGCACGCACGCACGCACGCACGCACGCACGCGCGCACGCACTCACGCACGCACGCACGCACGCACGCACGCACGCACGCACGCACGCACGCACGCACGCACGCAC